ATATAAGAAGCCGGCGTACGCCTGTAATCGTACACTGGCTTAAGCAACCTTTGAATCACATATTCAAAATTAACAGTAGTGTTATTAAAAAGTGTTATTAAAAAGCAATATTAAAAAGTGTTATCAAAAAACATTATCTTTTGCAAAGTGAATGTAAAAGTTACTTGAGTAATCACTTTTATCTTATTCTCATCTCAAGAATCAGTTATCTCATTATTCTTCATCTCAATGTTAAGATTCTTTATCAGTGTTTATATCACAAGTTGAACCATATAAGTAATACAGAGAATATGACCTTATTTATCATTTCAGAAATACAAAGTCAATTTTTGCTTCAAGCTCTTTATTATAATATAGTTATTCACAGCATTATCAGTTATAATTGTAAGAAGACTGAGACTAATATCTTAATAGTCATTTTTAATCACAGTCATTAATATCTCTACTATATAATTCTCAGTATGACTACTGATCAATGATTCAAATTTAATTAATATCTCTTGATAAGTTCAGTTCTTATCAATATAATAACATATAACTCTTATAAATGCAAGATTGTTTATACTAGTTCATGCATTTACTATGAGAGATACTCTTCAATGATTCTTCAACTCTGATTCTAGATATTATATATTGACTTTGTAGTGTGTCTCAAGATTGAACTGAAGACAGAATTGATATGAAATATGAAGATTTAAATTAAGTATTTGAAGAAGTGTTTGAAATTCAGAGTTTTCAATTGATTGAAGAGAAAGATTCAGAGATATATATATATAAAGTAATTATTCACAGAAGTTATCAGATAAGAGTTGTGAAATCAGAGTACTAATACAGAGTCATTTTCACATGATTTTCTTCAAATTGGAAAGTTAGTATTATCAAAAATCATTATCTGATAGAGTAACTTATCAGCTCAGTAGTAATTTTCTGATTATTTTTCTTTTATTGTCTGTATTCTGATGACTTCAGATGTTGAGAAATTTCTTCAGAGCTATGATCAGTTTATAATGAATATTTCTGAATGAAGTTGCAGTAATTGTAGTAAAGAGATGACTCTTCAGTAATCTATAATACAATCTATTAATAATTATTTCATAGTTCATCTCAATATTTGTGTTAAGTTTTTCATAAATTTTGTGACCTGGAATCAGATGTGAAGAATGAAGTAATCATTTATTATAATTAAAAGAGAGTATTCTGTGTTGAATTGTAAATAACATAGACTTTGTGATTCACAGTGATTTCTTGAAGAGTTTATGAATCTTCAATAGAAGTAAAAGAAGTGAAAGAAGTGAATTCAGAAGATATGATAATAATTTAAGAAAGATAATAATTTATTTTTAATAACTGATCACTGATGTGTGTAAGAAGAATTAATATAAGAGAAAATAATCTTATTTCTTAACTTAGTTATAATTTTAGTACTAACTCAGATTGAATATCATTGATATATAAAAGTAAATAAATAATCTTGATTAATCTCTGTCATATTTCTTGAAATATATTAATATTGTGAAAGAGAGTGTTACTAAATTATATTATCAGATAATATCATTAAAAATATATTAATATTATGAATATCAATGTTGAAAAAATGTTGATACTTATACATTATAGTGATTTGTGAATCATGATAGTTAAATATATATATATATATATATATTGTTCCTGACTTGATTACAACTTGTACAATAATTTTTAAAAACTCAAAATTAATTTCAATTATTAATAATTATGAACTTATAATTAACTAATATAAAAAGAAAAAAACTTTTTTTACTTATCATCTTTCTTCTCTTTCTCATTCTTCTTATCATTCTTCATAATTTACTTCTTATTCTTCTTCTTCTTCTTCTTCTTCTCATCTGAGATGATAATCATCTCAAAATCTCTCTTCACTATCTTCTTAAAGAAGGGTTTCTGCTACTCTCTCTCAGTCAGGTCAATCTGCATCTCAAAATCCCGCATTTTCTGATCTGCTGTCTCAAGTTTCATCTCAGTGATAAGTAGATTGACATACTTAGAGAGTAGAGCTGTCTTCTCAATATTCTGAATCATGAAGCACATTCAAGATCTGAATAAAATCTCAATTCTCTCCTTCTCTGTCAGCTCCTGCTAATCAATTAGAGAATAGAAGTATTATTAAAAATTATTATCTCTTAATAAATAAAAAACTTATCAGTTTTGACTTTTTTATCTTTTACTTCAACACTCTCTTAATCTTCTTCTATTATTACTTATTTATAGTAATACTCTTCTTCTCTCTTTCTCTCTTTATCTTGATCTCAAATTATTCTCAGAACTTCTTCTGATTTTATTACTACTGTATAAGACTCTTCACTATCTTCTTCTTCAATCTCTCACAGATAGTATCATCTGTATTATTTCTATACTTAGTTCAGTCTAAATCTATCAGAAGTGTTACTTAAAATTATTACTATTCTACTCTCTTACAGAGTCTTTTCAAGGTATTATAACATGTCTTACAATCTGTCTTCTCTTACTTAAACATCTTCTTCTTCTCTCTCTTCAATCTGTGATAGTACTCACACATCTTGATGATCTGCAGAATCACAGAATATTTGAAGAGAGATAATATAATTGATTTCAGTGAGTATTAAAGAGAGATGAAGGTAGAAGAGACAGTCAGAAATGATATGATAATAATAATAATAATAATAATGATAATAATGATGATAATAATAATAATAATGATGATGATAGTGATGATGATAATAATGATGATGATAATGATAATAATAATGATAATAATAATGAAAGAGAGAGTGTATTGAAATATATTACTAACTTATCAAATATAAAGAGACTCAAAGAAAATATTAACAGCTTTTAGCAATGTACAGAAACAGCTACAGTGTTGTATAGTAATATCATCTTCATTCAATACATGCACTGTTGATATTCTTTATATACAGTTATTATATAATCTGTATCAGAGATACATGCAGAAAACAGATCTTTATTACTAGAATAAATAATTACAGCAATTCTCTATTTTTATATTATAAAGATAAGTTATTCTTATTTCTTTCTTCTCTCTTTTCTCTTCTTCAATCAATCACTAATTTCAAGCTGATATGAAAACTATTAAAACACTCTCAGAAACTCTTAAATTGAAGAGTATAGACTAATCAAATTTCAAATACAGAAGAAATTAAATTATCTTCTACAGATTCAATTATTCATTCTCTCTTAAATAAAACAGTAGTCACATTTCCTCTTCTTTCTTCAATCAAATAAAACATGACCTGCAAAAAGCGAGTATCATGCCAGGCTATAATAATTAACACAGCCTCAGCATGCAGAGCTGTATATACACAGTGCATGCTGAACTGAGAGACTGTGTGAGTTGTAAATCAGTGACAGCATCTCAGAGAGAGCTGTACAGTGTGAGAAAGTCATAACTCTCAGTTATATGTACAGAGAGTGAATCACTGCAGTAAGTATATATATATTGAAGTAATACTTTTTAATAATACTCAGTCTCTGATATGATGAAAATAGAGTCTCTCTGTAAGATTCATTTCTATCAGAAGTTTGAGAATCTTATATTTTTCAAGATTATCTTCACATGTCTTATTCATGAAATTAATAAGAGAAATCATCAATTTCAGTATTCTATTCTTAATATTATTTAAGTAACAGCAGAGTTCACTCTGATCACACTTTTTAAGTGTATATTTTCTAATTATTCATATTTATATAGATATATACTGATTATTTATTAGCTGATATTAAGATAATAACTTATTACAGCTGTGTTATTCTCACTGTGAGAAATACACAGTTAGTGATAAATATTGTAAAGACTCTGAAAAGTGAGTATTTTAAGAATACTGCAGTTCTGTAATCTTGATTTTTTTTTTTTTTTTTTTTTTATTTTTTTCTTTTTCTTTTCTTTTTTTTTTTATTTTTCTTTCTCTTTCTATCTCTTTTTTTCTTTCTCTTCTTTTTTTCTTTCTCTGGGTTTTTTTTTTTTTTTTTTTTTTTTTTTTTTTTTTTTTATTGTGATTTTTTCTTATTATTTTATTTTTTGTTTTTTTGTTATTTTTTATATTATACATTTTTTTTTTTAATTAAAATGATATTAATTATAATCTGTGTTTAGAAAAGTAATAATATTTGATAACACTCTCTGTTAAATTTTCAATAAATAAGTACTATATTATGATATTATGTAAGTGAGAAATGATTTCATAATCTCATTTAATATCATTTTCAATAATAAAATCAGAATGAAAATGTGACTAAGAATTCAAACATATTCTTTATCTGAGACTAGATTTTTATTTGAAAAGTGAATCTGAGATCTTTAATATTTGAAATAACAGAATTTAGAATCAATGTGATGAATACAAATCATGATTGAAAGTAATACTTTTAGACAATGTGATAACTGTAAAGTTTGATTCTGGTCTCAGACATGGTCACACGGTCAGTCTAGATATGATAGTGCAATGTTATAGAATTATGCTTTGCTTAATTCTACATCAATCAGTGAGCTGTATTCATGTCAAGAACCTCAAAAAGAAAATTCTTCACTTTTAATAATCAGAGTTTTCATCATATATTTGCTTCGCTTCACTCCGTAAATAATAATCAATCATATTCAACCTCTCTCACACAGTTTAAAAGACAGTATTATATAATATTCTAATACAGAATAGTAATAAATATAACAGTTATTTAATATATAAATCTCAGATAATAAGATATTTGTATTACAATTCAGATATCTTATTTCTTTAAATAGATAGTTAATAATTAGCAGCTGTTATACTGAGTAATAGATAACTAGATTAATAATATTGATTTCACTGACAGAATAGTATACAGTGTCTCATAGTATCTTAGTAGTATTCTGATGATAACATCTGTCAATTACACGTTACTGAGAGTGTTATGATGATGTTAGAAAGTTCTACACTGTCTCAACACTATCTTGACATTTAATATTCAGCGACATGTCACTGAATATAATGATGGAACATGTGTTACAATCAGCGACACGTGACACGGGTGGAATGTTGGAATCACCGTAAATTAACCCTATGTTCTTCCCGTAAGGTAGGTATATTCGGAACGCGCATTCTAACTTCTGTTCCTGTTCCTTATCTGATTGATTAAAGTCTTCTGATGCAAACCTTCTCGCGTGGGATTCCTTTCCTGGGGCCGAAGAACTTCAACTCTTCGCACAAACAGCCCACCCGAGCGTCTGGCAGGGGATAGGAAGTCGAACTAGCATCCCGCCTTCGAAGCAAAGGCCACCTGGGGTTGTTTGCTTCTTCATCTCCTCTTCCCAGGACCTACAGCGTCCCGGATCCCATCAAAATTGTGCGGGTGACAAGTAGATTGAATTCATATTTTCCATGGCTTCCTACAGGCGGCCTCTGCAAATACCAGCTGTAAGATAGATGATCCAGCTCCTCACCAATTGGCCAATGCTGAACAATCTCCTTAGAAATGTGCTCAATTGTCCTCATCCATGGCGTTGCCAAGTCGCACCCGATGGCTTAGCCTATGTCGCTCGCATACATTTCATCCTGGTTCCCCTGGACTTTGGACCAATGATGGAACTTGAAAGACGTTGGAAGCGATTTTAGCTTCATATTTCAGTTTCAATTCTTGAATTCTTAGGTTGAAACTGTTGATGTGGCTGTAGTAGGGCTTGCTCTGTTCTGCGGTTTACTTCTTCGTTGCATTGTTTTTTTGAGGTCGCCTCACCCCTCGACCATTTTGTACGGGTATCTTGCAAATTGCCATTCTTACTTAAAAGGCTGGATACCCGTAGCTCAGTAGGAGTTTCTCTTCATTCTCCATCAATTGGCATTCTCCTAACAAGTTCGAAAGGCAGAAACGAGCACCAAGAAAACAACGACCACATTTAATGCCAGAAAAGCAAATATGTCTCTGACTCGCTTCACTTTCGCCCTTACCCTCTTACTTCAACTCGTCTCTGCTCATTTCTCCGTTAAATATCCTTTCTGGCGTGGTAATTCCTATTCAACTCAGTGGGAGAGACCATGTGCGTATCTGTACTTCTCCGTGATGCCATATCATCTTGTTCCCTTTCTCAATTTCCATTTGTCCAATATTTCTAATATGATGGTAGGCGGAGGTGTCAATGTGACAACCAACCGAACGGAATGGCCCGTTAACGGCGGCTCTCTCCTCTTCAATCCTACCCACCCCTGGGCCATAACCTACGTGAACCTTGGCCTTGGTTCTGACGAGTCAGTTATCTTCAATATTTCTTTGGTTGACGCGTTCAATCAAACCGGGAATGGCACATTCTGCTTCCCAAAAATCGAAATTCCAGGAGGGTTGGGCATCACCGCTGGGTCCAATGCGAGCGTTCAAGTTATCCAATTATCGAAACTGGGGTCCGCATTGTATAATGTATGGTTTCTTTGCCATCATTTCCTGTCTTTTTCATCGGTTTCCTCCCTCGTGTAGTACACTTAATTTTCGTACATCTCAACTTTGTTCATACGAGAATGGCATCTTATGCCAGTAGCGGAAACACGTTCTTAGTACTTACCTAACTGTAATTCCTCTCTTCGATAGTGTGCCGATATCACCTTTGCCGACGACGTCGAGCTTCTCTCTGCCGATATGTGCACCAACTCTTCAGGCATCGGCTGGATGCCCATTGGCGCAGCAGCAGCCACAAACAATACTCCTCCCGACAGTGGGGTGGGAGCAACACTTTCAATCGACCAAACCGCTAAGACCTTGGGTCTTGGTGCGATTATGGCGCTGCTATTCTGGAACTTGCAGTTCTAGTCCAAGGGCCGTCAACAGCCCAGAACGCCAAAAATTCCCGAGTCTTGAATACGGATATTTCTTACTATACGCACACCATTAACTAAAAATAGGAACTTGCTTGCTACTTGAATAGTTTATGGTGAATGGGTGAATGGGTGATTGGTGACTTCAATTATTTGGAGACATGTCTCGATGGAAAGAAACTATGTATATGTACTGGCAGAAGCGAGAATTGGGCGAAGATATTGCAATATCTATCGAACCCATACTTGGCTCTATACTCTCAAAAACATATTCCGTGCAAAGCGATTTTGTAAGTAATGGAGCAGCTACTACTCAAATTCAAATAGCGATGATTCTCTATCAAGATCGCAACTAGATAACTTCGCAGTAGTAGGGAATCAAACGTCAAACAAGGAAAGACAACAATCGTCAGATCATTCCAGTGACCGAGATTCTGACCGCAGTTTGCAAGGAGGTCTAAAATTCCTCAGAGATCCAGTAAGGTACACGATAACGAATGAAATATGAGGTCATGTCAGCTAGCTGTGGAAGCCAAAGTGAGGTTGTGAAGGAGGTTGAACATTGCAATTGGGGCCTTTCGTCCTGCATATTGTTCACCTTTCTTTCGAAGTGGTTCACGCAGTAGTTAATGCTGCCTCAGCAATTTCTCCCTTTGTGACTGCTTTTGTTGTCATGCTTCATAGGGAGCTTGAATTGACCAATATTCTCAAAGATCGAGAGTAGGAAGAAATTGACTGGGTGCATGTATTGCCCAGATTTTGGAACAATGTTAAGACGTCCACACTCCTGTTCCCTAGGGCCTTTTTATTCCGACTCCGGGTAGATTGGAATAGAGATATCGCATGCTACTCGCCCGTTCAACTGTCTCCCCATGAATTCTCCGACGTCGACCCTCATCTACACCCCTGACCATAATTCGAGTGGTCTATGTGTCCGGCAATTTCTATATCTATTTTGTGTCATCCGAGCATATGTATCTCAAAACTGTCATTTAAAGCAGACCGTGGCCTTCATCATGGCTGATTGGACCTAAGAACCTCAACCACACGTGGAGGATGGATGGGTGAAGCCACCCATTTTAAGGTTGGCACGCTAATTTAGTGCCGCGCTTAAATCAACCACTCGGTTTTATATCACATGATTTGAGACTAGCTCCGGGAAATCCATATAACTAGTGGTGTATGATCAAAGCTCCTTCGGAAGCTCATACTCGCAAAATTTACTAACGCCTCGGTTTTACACACAACTTTTCTAGCATCCTCATGACCTTAAAGGTCCTTTTTATAGGGGGTTGAGACTTTTTCACTCCTACTGACAATTGTTACACCAATATGACATTGCTGGAAAGGATATAACAAATGAAACTCACTCAACATGAACAGATGATTAACAGAATGAGATCATGATTGCAGGTCTGAGACAGCGAGCATGCGCAGAGAACGGCCTACGAATAACAGTCAATACGATGATTCAGTATACCGAGATCAGGAGCTGGGTTTAGACTGTTCCACAATCATCAAATAGCCGCGTGAGCAGAGACTCCTGATAATCTCACCGACGTGGTACTAGATCCGATGGTCGGGTGGCTAACTCCCACAGTGCAATCAGGACTCCGCTTCCCTGCTATTGAATGGCAAGTGACGGGGTTTTGCCAGCATAATGTCTTCCATCATCAGTCGCAAATTCGCTCCTTATCTTGGGATGTGGGCCGAACGCAATCCAGACCCTTCACTTGGGTTGCTGTGGGCGGTGCCGTGAAGCACCATTCCGAATGCTGATAAATAGTCAATTGCGCCTCCTAAAGCCACCATAAACCGTTCTCCCCCGTTCTCAATCCAGAACATCCAGCTTAGTCCACTTTTCGTTTTTCGCTTTCTTTACAATGACAATGTCAATCGGTCCAGAAACGGAAAAGCGGGATTCTCCCCATAACCCCAGTACTATTTTTAAGACTGGCGGTCATCTAGACCTCCCTAATGAACCCAATCACCCTCGAAGAAGGCTGGTTACAGAAAGGTACCAGGAAGAATTGAAGTTGCGGGAAGCAAACCCTGATAAAATATTTTATGATGGTGTGAATTTACGCGAATTGGATCCTAGTATGCAAGCCCGTTGTCAGAAATTACGCCTGTTCTTTAGCTGTTTGACTAACCTAGTTCCCTAAGATCTTATCACTCTAAATCCAGAGTCGAAAGAAAACCCGCGGGTAATAACCCTTGTACCTCCTAGGAATTCGATGATGGCCCGCATTCTTTAACATTGAATAGAGTTGGAGCCGGAAGATGAAGTGGACAACAACAGCCCTTATGGGAGCCTACTGCTTTTTACCTCCGTTTGCTAGTAAGCGGAACCATGTCTCTACTAAATGAACCTTTATCTTACAACACTAGGCACTATATTTGCGCCGGCCCTCCTCCTAGTCATGGCGGATCTTGGTATTAAAAACCCCACTCTGGGTGCCATCCAAGTTTCTATTTTCGTTCTGGCATTCGCACTTGGTCCGATATTCGCGGCGCCCCTTAGCGAGATATATGGAAGGACTATTATCGTCCGTACATGCAATATCTTGTTCATTACCTTCTCATTAGGGAGTGGATTTGCCCAAAATGTATGTTCTTCCTCCGAGAGCATGTTGTCATCGAGGTTAGCTAATTGGATAACAGGCAGCTCAACTTACAGTGTGTCGTTTCTTTGCGGGGGTTGGAGGTTCTGGTGGATTAGCCGTTTTCGGTGGTGTACTTGCTGATATTTGGGACCTCAAGGAACGGGCAAAGGCTTCAGCCTTGATGTCCACCTTACTGTACATTCCCCTCATTCTGTTAGACGCAAATATATGTATCCATTCTAACGCCCTCTAGAATTTTAGGGCCAGTTGCTGGCCCTGCCTGTGGTGGCTGGATATCTGAACGAGAGTCTTGGAGATGGACTTGTTGGGTCCCGGTATGTCATCCTTGCTTTTGTTCCTGTCTTTTTTGTTTTCATACTAAATATCACCACATCAGGCAATGGCTGCCACAGCTTTAGAAGTCATATCTCTTGTTTATATGAAAGAGTCATATTTTCCAGTACTGCTTGAGCGGAAGCTTCTGAGAAATAAGCGATTATACCCAGATAGAGACTTGTATACTGTAATCGAATTGCGCCCGAATACTTTGTCCGCTCACCGGGTGGGATGGTTTGTCTCATCTGCTATTCGCCCCGGTACGTATCTTTCGACACAAAATTTAGCATATGCTAACTTTGCTAGTGATATACCTTCTTGTCGATCCCGCTCTATTTTTACTGTCCCTATATTTTGCGTTCGTATTCGGGGAGGTGTATCTGCTCATAGTAACAGTATGAAACTATCACTCACTTTCAACTTGCTCGAAGTGCCCGAAACTGATCAAATACGTGGTTATAGTTTCCAGAGATATTCGGGGAAGGTTACGGCCACTCTGCTGGGTTTGTTGGCATCGACCTCCTAGCTCAGGGGGTAGGTAATATGCTAGGTCTGATTGTGACGGTTAAAGCACATGAAATTATATATGAACGCCAAACGCACCCCAGCAAGCACTACGATCCGGAGTCTAGGTAGGTGCTAGACTGATCTCTAATACCCTTCATGTTGGATAGCAGCTAACATGTACGGCATATTAGATTGGTTCCTGCATTCCCTGGTGCCCTTTTGATAGGTGCCGGTTTATTCTTATATGGCTTTTCTGCGCTCAAATATCACTTTATCGTGGTAAGTTATTATTTGTAATTCTTCTTGCTTGTTTAGTCACTGTTAGCTCTCCCTATTTTACCAGTCAGCTTTCCCGCTTGTGTCTCTTCTATGATCTAACAGATTTTAAGCCTCTAGTTGGTTTCGTAATATTTGCCGCTGGAGCCATGAACATATTTGTAAGGCCAACACAACAATCCAATGACCTGCGACTTACAGGAACACTAGCTGATTTTCGATATACAGCTCGCAATTCAGCTTTACATTGTTGACTGTTTTTCTTTCCCAGCTTCAGCTGTAGCCTCACGTAAGATAAGGCCCTTCTATTTTAAGATAATATACTAAACTCTCGCAGTGTCATTCCTCCGTTTCGTCTTCGCAGGGGGTAGGTATCTTCCTGACAGCTGCGTTTCATCATATTAGCCACACCCACTTTCAAAAAGCTCCGCCAGAAACTGATCATATACAGTATTTCCACTTTTCGGCTCCCGACTCTTCCAAACCTTAGGAGTTGACTGGGGAACAGGGCTCCTTGCGTTCTTATCGCTTGGTCTGGGTGTCCCATTTCTGCCATTGGTCTGACTGCCTTAGTTGAATCGCATAATTTGGGACAGGGGTGCTAACCGGTTGTATCTAGATCTATATCTATGGGAAGAAGCTCCGTGAGATAGGGAAAAGTAACATGCAGAAACTTGCCTCTCATTAGAAGATGGCACAGATGGTTCAGTTTAACGCATGGAACGACATATGCCGGGAAGGCCCTGGCCTCACAAGCCCAATGATTGTACTCCTATAATTTGTCAGGGAGAGTTTCCTTTTTAATACTTTACTCGAAAATAATTACAAGGCAAAGCAACGACAGTTTCGTTTCCTCAATCAACTAAATGACAATACTAGGTATGTGGAATTTGTTTCTCCAACCGTAGAAATGGTTGGTTGGAATTTGTCCCTTGACAAAAACGAATAGTGATTATGTAGCGTGATATTTGACAAATAGAATGCTACGAAGTTAATAACTAATTTAAAGACAATTTGAGTGTTTCTTTTCCTTTGCTTTAATGTTTTTCTCCTTGAACTAATTTCAGAGGTACAGTACATATGTGTGAACTAGCGTACTCCGTACAGACTATATATGACCTCAGCCCCTTACTAAGGTAACTAAAGGCCAGCTGCTACAAAGGCATCAACCTTCACTACATTCCAAATAGAGACATGGGAACAACCATACATATCTTGTCAGATGCAATATCCTCTTAAGCGGGAACAAAATTATGTGAATGCCTCCTCACGTTCTAAAAATATCACAAAACAAGGATATCATCGTAAATTCCTGTACGCGCCGGTCCAAAAGAAGGTAAAACCTCATACTTGAGTCAACGATGGCCGAGCGCATTCATTTACTGTAATATACAGATACTGCTTGTTTTGGTGAGCAGCGGGCTTATGGTAGTGAACTGGGATATTCCACGGTTCGATGGTCTTGGAGGATAACATTGTTGTGTTGTGTGTGTGTAATCTATCTACGCGAGTTACACTAAATGGATAGGTTGTGTGAGAGAGATTGAATGTGATTGGTTGTTGTTGTTATCTAACTAGTAGCTAGTGAAAGCTAAATATATGTGTGTAGATCATGTGGGTTAGGACTTGTGTAGTAGCTTCAACATCTCTTCATACTATATAAATCAGTTAATTCATACAGTTAAAAGCACTTAAATCATTTAAATCTACAATAAAAATTAATTATAAAAAGTAGAGTCTAGTTTTCTTATAAGAACTAGCTTTATATATGAAAAAATATAAAAAATATATAAGAAGAACACTCAAATCTATTCTTTTAGTATTGATATTATTCTCAGTTGTTCTAATGCCGCGGGATCTCATTCTTATTATTTTTGTGGTTTTCATTGTCATAGGCATCGGCATAGGTCATCGGCATAGGTCATCGGCATAGGTCATCGGCATAGGTCATCGGCATAGGTCATCGGCATAGGTCATCATATGGGCAATCGGTGGCCCGGCATCATATAGGCACTGCCACACTGGGGCCTGGCATCGTAGGCACTGTAGCCTGGCATCATATAGGCACTGGGGCCTGGCATCGTAGGCACTGGGGCCTGGCATCATATAGGCACTGGGGCCTGGCATCGTAGGCACTGGGGCCTGGCATTATATAGACACTGAGGCCTGGCATTATTATCAGTATTTTCATCATTTTAGCATTGATATTGATAGTTATCATAAGTATTATTAGAAGACTTACTTAGTATTATAGTATATAAATATAATAATAATATTATTATTAATCTTCTTTCTATTCTTTCAATCTATAGATTATTTCTCTAAATATTCAAATTAATAGCTTAATTTATCTTACTCTTTTATCTTACAGATAGTATATTTCTTCTTAATATTCTTATTATTCTTTATATTCTTAATAATATCTTTATTATTCTTTATATTATTTCTGATATTTTTATTATTTAATAATAGATAAAGTAGTATATCTCTACAGAGATTAAGAAAATTATCTTTTAATAATATAATATTATTATTCTTTATTATATAGTTTATATAATCTCTGATAAAAATTAATCATTTCTTAATAAAACTATTAAGAAGCTTATTAAAGAATATAAAGTTAAGAATATTAATATATTTAAGATAGATATACTTAATATAAATTATAAATAGATATTCTATGAATAAGTAGTTAAAGTTATTATAGATAACAGTTATACTAATATTATTGAATTTTTTAAATAGATAGACTCTATGAATTTCTATTTATTCTAAAAAGAATATTATTATAATGTTTTATAAAGTAGTAGAACTTAGAGAATCTTAAGATATAGTAAAAAGAGATTTAACTTTAATAAAAATAGAAAACTATATAAAATTATATAATTAGAAGTTATATTTCTTTTAGAATTATTTCATATTCTTTGAGATATTTTTTAAGAGTTTATTAATAAAAATATCTTTTATATAAAATTATTTAATAATAAACAGAATCTCTTTCTTTTAAATAAGATAATTAAATACTGATTTAAGAAGATTTGATTTTTAAAAATATTTAATATATTCATAGAATTCTTGAAGATTTTTACTTAATATAGAAATATCTTTGTGATTCTGAAGATAAGTAGTAAGATCAGAGCTTAAATTATTATTATTATTAATAGTAGCTATAGTAGTAGAATTATTAGAAGCTTTTATTTAATATAGTTCTTCATTTATCTAAGTAATATATTATCTTAAGACAGTAGCTTCATCAGTCATATTTAGACTGACCGTGTGACTGTGTCTGGGACCAGGACCAGATTTTTTGATAGTCTCATTACCAATTCGACTGATTCCATTACATGGTTTTAACATTAGATAGTTATTATTATTATTATTATTCTTCAATTATAGATGTATGCAGTCAGAGACTATGACATCTACCTGAGAACTTTAGTTCTCAGGGTTTTTTCTATGTCTGTAAAGTTAACTATTATACATTCATCAATTTCAGATATGCAAAATCAGAAAATTCCAGCTCAGAATACAAAAACTGTTTACAAATTGCAGTGTTTTAACATCTTTTGATACTTTGAAATTATTTGACAATATCATGACAAAAGAAAAGAGAAAAAGAACACAGTCTCAAAGATAGACACATTAAGTAGATAGATAGAAAGAAATTGAAAGAAAAAGATAAAGAAAAAGATAAAGTAAAGAGAGACTATAATAAAACAAATTATTAAAAGAGAGTGTATAGCTGTTTTAACAGACTATATCTGATTAATTTCCTCCTCTTCATACTCAGATAATTCTGAATTTAGTCATTTTCTTGTAGCTGCTTGAGTTTCTGATAGAAAGTCTATTAAGTATTTAATTCCTGTCTCAGTTGAGAATAAGAATCTCATATTTAATTGATTTAGATCATACTTCTCTTTCAATCTGACTCTGAGACTATTGTATAATGCACAGTGTATTACAATATACTCAGAATTCTCAATTATATTGCAGAATGAGCATTCTATTGAGTTAAATCTATCATCAAATCTTTGTATATAAGATTTGAAATAGCCATGTTCTAGTTTCAGCTGTATTATAGATGAGAATATTTTCTTTTTACATTTAATTGAATAAGATTTTCACTTGGGTTTTGTTTCAAATCTTGAATAATGTATACTCTTCTTTTGTTTCTGTCAGCTTTCATTTCACTTGTTTAAACAAGATTCTTTTATTTTTCTCTTTATAAAAGATCAGGACACAATTTTTTGAATAGATCTGCTTAATTCTGCATTCTTTTTTACAGCTGAATCAGTCAATTCATTATCATGAATATTCATATGAGCAGAAACTCAGTGCAGATGAATTATCAGCTTTGATATTCTTCTCTTTTGAATTTTCAGAACAGAGTTTAAGATCAGTTCAAGATTCATTTAATTATTATAAATCTGACTATTTCTAAGTCTTTTTAAAGCAGCTTAACTATCAGAGAATATTCATATCTCTTTCAAACAATTTCCTCTTTTATAAGATTTTATTTCAATGAGTTTGAAAGCTTTCACTATTGTAAATAGTTCAGCATCAAAGACTTCACATTCAAAGTCTAGATTTCAGAAATCTGAGATAAAATTAATATTATCTTCAGTATAAGCAATGTCTGTGTCTAATCTATTCAAGTTCTCATTTTTTGAGCCATCTGAATAAACCAGAATAGAGTCTTTTATATTGATTGTAGAAATTCTCTTCAAATGCTGTTCATATTCTTTCTCTTTTGATAGTTCACTTATTTGTAAGTCTATAAGAGATTCAAGCTTTTCTCTCCAGAGAGATAACTTCTCATGATCAACTTTTTCAACATTTAAAGAAGAAAATTGACTACGGGCGCTAGCCACCCGCAGGATGCACCTTAAGCTAATTACATTTAACCCCCTATAATTAACCGACCACCGCGTCCGTCCTCTCGGGCCAGCCACTAATTTCCAGGGGTGTTAGTTAGTGGCTGCCACCACCCACTTGGTGGCGTACACACCAAGCTTCCAGTTGCTGATCTCGGCCCCATTAGATGCCCATAGGCCTACCAATCAGCTGTCGTGGCCTCGCCCCGTGTTAGGGACTAATCATAGGCTTGATGCTGCAGTCCTCCCTGCCAGTATTAGGGCTTGGCAGTGAGCTTGCAGGCTCGAGCCTATCAGGGTGCCCTGTCTAGGGCCTAGATGCGCGTCTAGGCCTGCTAGTCAAGTGGTTTTCAAAATCATTCCCTGTATTTGGGGGAAGCTAGGCTCTGATGACAGCCCTAGTTAGGGACTTGCTTAAGTAGTATATAATCACTACATTAGGCTTGGCTCTATATTGTTAGAACCTTGACGGGTGCACAGTAGAATAGTGGGACATTGGCACCTCATGCCAGCCCTGGTGGGTGTTTGCAGGATCTCACTTAACTAGTGGCTTGGCTTGCAGTAGAGAGTTCTACCCCGCACCAAGCCTTACTAATTAGGCTCAGCCCCTATTACATGGGGGCTTTCATGGGTAAGAAGTGGCAGGTGCCAGTGGTGGGATTCGAACCCACGCACCTCTAATGTGTGCGGCCTTGGTTACCAGTCTTACCAACTGGGCCACGCTGGCAACATTAGATAGTAGTCTCATACTGTCCCAGTGAGACTTACTGTCTACTCTTGTTTCATTTTCCAAATGAGATCATGATTTCCACTTCTCAATTTAAATTATTTTTATTGCTTTAAATGACTTTAAATCTCATTTGAGTGTTATCAAAAAGTGTTACTTTTTAAAAAATTAAAAATAGTCTAAAAAAAACCTTAAAATGTCTAAAAATAGTAACTTTATGCTAAGAATGAAACTAAATGAAATTAAATGAGATCACTTTCTCATTTTTTTCAAGTTATGGTTTCATTTTAAGATCTGATATATAGTCACTTTATCTGTTTTTTTAATAGTCAGTCCCAGCGGGATTCACGCCAAGAAATGTATGAGATCAGATCAAATGGAATCAAACGTGAAATTCATGATTTCAGCGGCCAGTCTA